CTCCTGTAAACGGCCACAATCTTCACCATTGCTGCAGTGTCTCTATGCAGCTGCTTGCCATGCAATATACATACATTAGACTCAAATAACAAACCCACAAAAGATATGTATATGTTTCATATTACGGACACATGCTTATTCTGAATATATGTAAAAGACTCTTTTCAGATTTTATTTTAGAGAGAAGGCATGAGGTTCAGCTGTGTCCTCTGTGTCATTTTCTGTCTGATTCTGACTGACAATATTTACACAGCGCAAAAGTGTGTGCTTGTAGGGACGTGATGCTTTTCCTGGTGACATGAAGCCGATCTGCTAATCGCAGCACATTATGTTAGCTGACCATTCAGAGCCTCTTTAGAGCAGTTCTTTTAGAGGAACTGGGAAATATGACTATGGTTTTCATGTTAGCTGAGTTGCTGTATATAATCAAAATAAGATATATGAAAAAAATAACGTGATTTTCTACAAGTGAAGCATTGCTTTGCATCTTATAAACATAACCAAGCTGTAAAATACACTCTGGACCACCCCTTTAAGATTCGATCAAACATGTAAATGAAACTTGCCTGTAGTAACATCCCAGAGTACCCTACTAACTGCCTAGCAACCACTCAGAACACCCTAGCAGCCACCTAGCAACTGCCTAGCCAACCCATAAGCAACAACCTAGCTACCCTCAGGTTCAGAACACAGTCTGTTAAGTCTGAGCAATAGTGTTGGTGGCGCTGTGACTTCTGCCGCTGTGCTTTCTGCTTTTGAGGCATATATTTGAGGCATTTATTTATCCATATAGTATATTTATTTATTTGATAACTAATTTATGCATTTTTATAGGTATATTAATTTAACAAAAACAAATTTTCTAAAGTTTGGGAGTGATTGACAGCCATGTATTAACATATCTCTGTAGTAACACATATAATCATATCAACAAGACAGGACGAGCGCAAAGCAACCGGTATTAAAAGATCTGTTCAGCTCTCTGTGATCATCAATCATTATCAAATGTGATCAAGAATGAGTTTCACAAGTTTAAAACGGTTTTAAAACAGTGCATGTTTGTAATGAATTACAGCGATTTTATTGTCTTTACTTTATCAACACAGCCACATGTCAGTACAATTATAAAAGAAGATGCTTTGATTACAGTTTGTGGACGTTAAATCAGGTTTATTTTGTACATTAACATAGCATATGTCCATACAGCAGTGGATATAACGTGGATTCTGTCACATTTGCTGAAAAAAAAACTTGTAGTGTGTGTGCGTTACTCATCAAAAGGCTTCAATTAACTTCACAACAAATACATCAAATAATCATCGGGAAAGTTCTTCCTGTAGTATTTCTCACAAACAGTACGTGAGATCTGCTACCTTCCTGTCATTGTGTTGTTTATCTGATGCAGCCGGAGATTGAGGCACACTGACAGACACATGTGAGCGATGGGCAGGGAGAACTAGCATTAAAAGCACAGGCAACAGAAACAGCTACAATGTGTTTAAAGCAGACAATTCCAATATTCTGAAAGGTATAATAAATAATCTGATGGGTGTTTTGAGCTGAAACTTTACTGACACATTCTGGAGACACAAAATACTTATCTTAGATCTTGAAAAAGGGGTAAAGAAGGCTTACTTAATCCATTTGTGTTGGAACAACATGAAGGAATTGCATGGAACCCAGCATTTTTTACAGTGTATTTAGATTTAGATAGATTACCAATCAATGCTTTGTTTGGCTATGTTTACACAAAACAGACAAAAAAGCTGCCAAAAACAAGGTTTCAAGGTGCAGTTTTCTTTGTAAATTGTGGCACAGTGGGTAGCACGATCGCCTCACAGCAAGATGGTCGCTGGCTCGAGTCTCAGCTGGGTCAGTTGGCATTTCTGTGTGGAGTTTGCATGTTTTCCCCATGCTCGTGCGGTTTTCCTTTAGGTGCTCTGGTTTCCCCCACAAGTCCAAAGACGCTATAGGGAATTGAATAAGCTAAATTGTCCGTAGTGTATGTGTGCAAACGAGAGTATGTGGGTGTTTCCCAGTGTTTCCCAGTGACGGGTTGCAGCTGGAAGGGCATCTGCTGCTTAAAACATATGCTGGATAAGTTGGCGGTTCATTGTGGCGACCCCTGATAAAAAATAAAGGATCTAAGCCGAAAGGAAAATGAATGAATGTTATTCGCAAACACACCCTTACTATGAAAATTTACAACAATCGTTGTTTATTTGCTGAATGTAATAATGGATTAAAGAAATGCCTTAATAATTTTAAATTTTTTGCACAGATCAATCGTTTCACTTTATCAGACATCAGTACATCTTCAGTATAGCCAAAAACGTTAATTGTAATTAGCATGTATATGTTATTTCGACTCTCAAAATGACAAAAATGTTTTTCTCAAAAGAAACAGAAGCAGAAGACAGTTATTCACGTTGACATATCACACTCAGTTTGATAAATATAACGCTTCACATATTTGAGGTGTTTTTTTCCGATTTATTTTTTCATGTCCACAAACTAAACAGTCTGGTCTGAGAATTTGTCCACATAAGGTGGCTTGTCTGGAGAGCAGCACGTCCTGAAGTGGTTGTACAGCCTGGGTTTGTCAGGCTGCCAGTAGAGCACCATGCCTGGGTTAGAAGCAGACAGAGCTCAGCCAAAACAGTCCAGTGGGTGTAAAAGACATGTCGGCTTGTTTATAGTATAGTTTGTCCTTTGGCACCCGTGTCGAGGCCTATAGTATGCAAAGGACATTTCAGCCAAGTCAGAAGACGTACGGCCTCAATGAATCTATATGAAGCATGAATGAGCATGGTTGAAAGGAATAGTTTATTGTAATTTGTATTGGCATGCCTAGGCTTTGACTTGTACTTGAACTTATTTTTGTCTGTTATTTGCAAGCAGTTGGAAGGACATCATGTTTATTGAAATGCAAACTGAAAAGGACAAATGATTGTTCGTTTCAAATGGCTTTTTTTGATATATACTCAAAGAATCCTGAAAATATATATCTGTTTCCATTAAGAACACACACAATGTTTTTAAAAACGGTTAATGATTAGATAGAAATATGTTTTTAGCTCCAAATTGAAACATTATGGAATGATTTCTTTTCTATTAATGGCTGCAAAAATACAACTTTTCATCACAGGATTTTATTTATTATATATTTTTTAGAAATTACTGAAACAAATTATCTTTCTATTTATTTATTTATTTATTTATGTATTTACTTTATAAATGCAGCCACTATGAGCACAGGTGACTGAAGATTTAAAAAAATCTAGTGAGGATCTACATGAATGAGAAGAAAAAAAAACTATTGAAAATCATTTTATTTGTTAGTTGTGGGTTTGAGTAAAATGTTAATATTTATTTGATTCTATAATGTTCTGTTTTTGTCAATTAGAGATTATTTATGGTATATAATAGAATAACCAATATGTTTGTGATTTATAGATGTTTTATGCTTTCATATTAATGCCTTCAAATTGCATTGCAACTTGACAACTTTTGATGCTTGAACTTATTTTTGTCTGTTATTTGGAAGCAGTTGGAAGGACAACCTGTTTATTGAAATGCAAACTGAAAAGGACAAATGATTGTTCAGTTTTCATTTTGATCTACTCAACGTCTCCTGAAAAAATATAGCCCTTTCCATTAACAACACACACGATTGTTAGATAAAAATGTCCAAATTATAACATTACGGAATGATTTTTTTTCTAATAGCGATTGCAAAAATTCAGCTTAGCATTACAGGAAATTGTTGTTATTATTATTAGTAGTATTATTACTTTAATTACATAAACAGATTTTTTTTCTTTTTCTTTATAATTTTTAAAAATAAATGCAGTCACGATGAGCATAATCTAGTGCGAATCTAAATGAATGACTAAAAAAAGCTATTGACATTTTTTTTATTATTATATTTAATAGTTGTGGTTTGAGTAAATATTAGTATTTATTTGATTTTATAATGTTTTGTTTTATTTCATATAAAATGTTTTAATTTAGAGATTATTTATGGTCACAATAACATATAAGCATATAAGAAACAAAATACAAACTGTGACCCTTTGCTAATTAATAGGGAGGAAGTTGAACAGGTGAGTTTTTCTTTAAAACACTTTCAATTTTCTTTTGAGTGTTTTTGAAAAGGCTCAGCAGTGATTGGGTTTGTTGAGAGAACTGAGAGGTTTTGATATTGAGGAGGACATTTCGACTGTCACTTAATAAATAATAAATCACTTTTTGAATCTGTCCTTACTTTTGATGTTGTAGCCTGGTTTAACTCGAAAAGAAAAACCTTGACTAATGTGGAAGTTACTTCTGTTTGGCAGTAAAGTCCCTTAAAAAATGTCTAAGTACAAGAAGACATTTATTCTCACTGCAATTGAAAAGTTTAACAAAGTGACGTTTATTGACAGTTTCAGTAGTTTGAAAGATCGTCAATGTTGGTCATGTAAATTACAGCTCAAAGCCACACAGTTGAAGTCAGAATTATTAGCCTTTCTAAATTATCAACCCCCTGTTTATTTGTTTTCCCAATTTCTGTTTAACAGAAAGATTTTTTCAACACATTACTAAACATAATCATTTTAATAACTAATTTCTAATAACTGGTTTATTTTATCTTTGCCATGATGAGTAAATAATATTAGACTAGATATTTTTCAAATTATAGAATTCAGCTTAAAGTGCAATTAAAAAAGGCTTAACTAGATTATTTAGATTAATTAAGTTTAAGTTAATTAGATTAAGTGTTTTTTTTCTGTAGATAATCGAAAAAAAAAAGCTTAAAGTGGCTAATAATATTGACCTTTAAATGGGTCAAAAAATAAAAAAGATGCTTTTATTCTACACAAAATAAATGAAATAAGATTTTCTCCAGAAGAAAAAAAAATATTGTCGGAAATACTGTTATAATTTTTTTTTGATCCATTAAATATTACTTGAGAAATATTTGAAAAAGATAAATATTTCACAATTTTTTACTTTACTTTAGCCATTAAACTAGTTCATATTTAAAAAAAAAAAAGTATTTCTGCACTAAAAATGCCTTGTGCCTCTCTAAAATGCCTCTCTAACATACAGAGTAACATGTAGAGTATCATCGCAGCTATATTGTGGATAAGTGTACTGTCAGCCTGTGCTGTGTGCAGTTGTTGTGGGTTTCCTTCTGGTGTTTGTGGCTCAGCTTAGCATGTGTCACATACTCTTAGCAATTTGTCATAGTAATTGCCCTAACTGTCCTTGTAATTACTGTCTTTATTGTAAACAGCGGCGGAGTAAATGTGAACAGGTGTGAATAATAGTGTCTCTGGTGTTCAGTGGCTGCTTTCACCATTATGACAGGTTATGTGTGTCAGCTCTCCTGTCGGCCTGCGCAGGAACTCGGCTCCAGTAAGACGTTTCTGGCATGAATGGCAAACACATCCTCTGTCAACTTGGATTTTTTCATGCGTTGCTGCCATCTGGGTGCATAAAGAATAATATTAAGCATTGCTGTTTGGCTTAGTGGGTATTTTTGGATGTTAAAATGGCTTTATTTATAGCCTGTCTCAACCAGGATATATATTCATATAGTGTTAAAATATACAATAAATCACATTATTCCTTTGCACATAATTTCCTTAGATATTTATATAGTCACCGGCCACTTTATTAGGTACATCTGTCCAACTTCTTGTCAGTGCAAATTTCTAATCGGCCAATCACATGGCAGCAACTCAATGCATTTAGGCATGTAGACATGGTCAAGACGATCTGCTGCAGTTTAAACCGAGCATCAGAACGGGTAAGAAATGTGTTTAGGTGACTTTGAATGTGGCATGGTTGTTGGTGCCAGATGGGCTGGTCGGAGTATTTCAGAAACAACTGATCTATAGGGATTTTCACGCACAACCATCTCTAGGGCTAACGGAGAATGGTCTGATAAAGAGAAAATATCCGGTGAGCGACAGTTCTATGGGCGCAAATGCCTTGTTGATGTCAGACGAGAATAGCCAGACTGGTTCGAACTAATAGAAAGGCAACAGTAACTCATTAACTCATTAACTACTCATTACAACCGAGGTATGCAGAAGAGCATCTCTGAATGCACAACACATCCAACCTTGAGGCAGATGGGCTACAGCAGCAGAAGACCACACCAGGTGCCACTTTTGTCAGCTACGAATAGAAAACTGAGACTACAATTGGCTCAGGCTCACCAAAATTAGACAATAGAAGATTGGAAAAACATTGCCTGCTCTGAGTTTAGATTTCTGCTGCATCATTCAGATGGTAGGGTCAGAATTTTAGATCAACAACATGAAATCGTGGATTCATCCTGCCTGGGATCAATGATTCAGGCTGGTGGTAGTTCTGTAAAGACGTAGGGGTTATTTTCTTGGCACACTTTGGGCCCATTAGTACCAATTGAGCATCGTGTCAATGACACGGCCTACTATTGTCTACTACTACTTACTATGGCCTAGTATTGTTGCTGACAATGTCCATCTCTTTATGATTCATCTCAGCGGTTCATCCCAGACTGGTTTCTTAAACATTACAATGAGTTCACTGCACTCAAATGGCTTTCACAGTCACCAGAGCTCAATCCAATAGAGCACCTTTGGGATGTGGTGGAACGGGAGATTGCCATCATGGACGTGCAGCCAACAAATCTGCAGCAACTGTGTGATGCTATCACGTCAATATGGACCAAAGTCTCTGAGGAATATTTCCAGTAGCTTGTTGAATCTATGCCACAAAGGATTAAGGCAGTTCTGAAGGCAAAGTGAGGTTCAACCCAGTACAAGTAAGGTGTACCTAATAAAGTGGCCAGTGAGTACTTTTGCATTGTTGCATTATGGTAATCGTAATCTCTGCTGACAACTTGAACCGAAAGGCTAAATGTTGTTTGAAACTATTTATTGTCATGTAAATAATAGACTGAAAAAGTAGGTTGTTCGCTGCCAGTACTTTTTTTTAGTTTAGGGATTTATTCAAATATGTATTTTTAATAAATATTGGTTTAAACTGATGATGATGATGATGATGATGATGAATTAAAGTCACCTTTTTAAAACAGCAAAGTAAAAATTTTAGTTTCTTCCATCTGGCAGCTTAACGAATAATATTAAGCATTGCTGTTTGACTCAGTAGGTATTTTCACATGTTAAAATGGCTTTATTTATTGTACATCTCAACCAGGCTATATACAGTATACATATAGTGTCAAAATATACAGTAAATCACATTATTCCTTAGCTCATTATTACCTTATATTTATACCTTTGCATTATGATATGCTAATCTCTGTTTCTGACAACTTGACTTTAGATGACTTTGGTAGTTTAAAGCAATACATTGTCATGGTTGGTCAGGAAAATTAGGATTAACATTTTTTTCATTTGAAGCATTTATTCCTATATACATTATCTTTTATATAATATATTCTTTTATGCAATTCAAATACCAATTAATGTAAGTTTTTTACTGATAATTTTTTTTTTCAGTTGTTTGCATCTGGGAGCCTAAATAAAAATATAAAGCATTGGTGTTTTAGTTAGTGAGTATTTTTACATATTAAAATGACTTTATTTATAGCACGTCTTCACCAGAAATGTCTGTCATAGAGTTATATATATGAACATTAAATCACATTTGCCCTTAGCTTATGATTCATCTGTGTATTCCTTATATTTATACTTTATTGCATTGTGGGGCATTAATCTTAACTTTAACATCTTGAACTGAAACAAAATGACTTCAAATTTGTTTAGTTTAAAACCATATATTGTCATGCAAATTACAGTCCAAAAAGCAGTCTATGAACTGCCAGTACTTGATTTATTCCAACATTATATATTGTTTAAAACTACCAAAAATGTCCATTAATGTCACTGCAAAGTTAAACTTTCAGAGCATAAAGAAAAACATTAGTCATTGCGATTTGGGTCAGTGAGTGTTTTTGCATGTCAATTGACTTAATTCATAGCATGTCTCACCAATGCATGTCTGTGCCGTAGAGTTTCCACTTTGGCTAGGCTCATCTCCAGACCTCTCATTCTTTTGTCATGCACCGTTCCTCTCAGTGATTCACACAGGAACCGCAGGACCACTTTTAGAGACCAGGACTCCGGAAGCACCATCAACACGCTGGATAAATCAAAAGACTCTGGGTTTTTGTTCAGCAGGTCCACTGCTGCGATGACGTGATGGCTGGACTCCAGGTAGATTTGTAGTAGAGTGAGAAATATGGTCTGCGTGAACTTCTTGTCTCGTCCAGCAGAGGTCCTCCAACAGTAGCATTCAGCAGCCTGCTGGTCTTTCTCCTCATTGACTAAAACCTGCAGGGCCTTTTTGTGTTTTCCATTCTTTCCAAGCGAAATTGCTTGCTCCACATGAAGAGATGAGGATGCTATTTGGTCTGTAAAAGGTGTAGAAGTTGGTTTATTTCATGGACCTGAAATATCAAACTAGGGGTGTGTAATATTGACTGAAAAAACATCTCGTATCTTTTTATTTGTTGCCTTTTTTATATAAAGTTAAGATTAAAGCACTAATCTGAGTGTTTTTTTCCTGGTATTTTGGGTGGCTTAGATCTGTCATGGCACTTAAAACACCAGTAGTTGGAGGCAGATCTCTGTCTTAATAATTGGTTCTGTAAAATCACCTGATTCATTTAGAAATTAAGAATTTTTATGTAAGTCTGTCACAAAAAAAGGTTATTGCTTTTATATATTTTTTCTCAGTTTAGATTTTTTTAAATTGTCTTTTTTTCCTGAGAATTGTGATATGTAAACTCGCGAATGTGATTTTAAAGTCAGAATTCTGAGATAAAAGGTGTTAGTAACTTAAAAAAAAAAAAAAAAAAAAAAAAAAAAAATATATATATATATATATATATATATATATATATATATATATATATATATATACAGTTGAGGTCAGAATTATTAGCCCCCTTTGAATTTTTTTCTTCTTTTATAAATATTTCCCAAGTGATGTTTAACAGAGCAAGCAAATTTTCACATTATGTCTGATAATATTTTTTCTTCTGGATAAATTCTGATTTGTTGTATTTCAGCTAGAATAAGGGCAGTTTTTAATTTTTTAAACACTATTTTAGGGACAGAATTATTAGCCCCTTTAAGCTAATTTTTTTCTCGGTAGTCCACAGAACAAACTATCAATATACAATAACTTGCCTAATTACGCTAACCTGCCTAGTTAACCTAATTAACCTAGTTAAGACTTAAAATGTCGCTTTAAGCTGTATAGAAGTGTCTTGAAAAATAAAGTAAAATATTATTTACTGTCATCATGGCAAAGATAAAATGAATCCATTATTAGAAATGACTTAATAAAACTATTATGTCTAAAAATGTGCTGAAAAAAATCTTCTTTCCGTTAAACACAAATTGAGGAAAAAATAAACAAGCGATCTAATAATTCAAGGGGGCTAATAATTCTGACTTTAACTGTATATATATATAATCTGAATGGCCAAAACTTCCTTACTTTTGGGGTCTTTATGTTCACCTGATTAGTTAAAAAAAACTGTTCATTCAGCAAAAAAAAAAAAAAAAACACTGCAAAGTTTGACAAATATTCATCTCTGGCTTTGTTTAAAGCAATTTTTATTTGCAAAACAGACAACATTGTCTGAAATGTACTGACTAAATGTATTTAATGTAAACTTAATGTAAACCATGGCATAAAATCAGTTTTACTATTGAGGTGATATTTTTGAAACTTTGCAAACACTTTTGCTTGTGTGATATACTTAACTACAAATCTCATTAATATAAAAAATCCATACTATTCATATTTATAATGTGTATGCATTCTAATAACTGTAATCACGCGAATAATGCTTTTGTTAACTTCTTTTTCTGTGTGTTTATAGATTATTTCAATAAGAGACATAATTGATAGTGTCAACAATTCATACATTTCTTAAAAATTATAATTCTAGACAAAAATCATATCACATGCCCCATCATCAAACATTTTTTAGTTACAGGTATATATTACTGTTATTATTATTATTATTATTATTATTATTATTATTATATTACAATTATATATTACTTTACACCACACAAAAACCTCAAAACATGCTATTCTGAGTGTACCTCATACAGGTGAGTGGGCTTGACAAACCACCTGTCGAAAACACACTCTTTCATCACTCTGACACTAACCCACACTTGCACCAGTTTTGTAGATTTGCACCAGACACTTTCTTACAAGCAATCCTTATTTAAAAAAACAACAGCAACAACATTGTGCATTTATGAAGTGTGCTTCACACAGGTGAGTGGGCTTGACAAACCACCTGTAGAAACACTCTTGTTAGCATGTTCCTTGTAGCAATGTAAATGTATTAACCTGTTAAAAAGTCTTTATCTGCTTTATCTGCATCTTTTTTGTTTGCTCACCATATATTTGATCAGCATTGTAGAAGGAGGACTGCCACAGTAACTGCTGTAGTTTATGTCTCATCTCCTCTGTGCTTGATTCATTGTTGTGGTCATCCGCAAGCGACCGCAGTATTCGTTTGACATATGATGTGATAAGCATAGTATGGTGCTTTTCCTCCTGTGAAAACACATGTGGTTATTCAATGCCATGACAAGTGATGGTGAACTGGCTTAAAGCTGACATTATATTTTTATTGCGTACATTTTAACTTATATTGTTTTTGCATTGAAATGTAGTTTTTCTTTTACATTTGGATTTAAATGAAGAGGCAGTAGTCGTCGCTATTGTGTCATATCTGTGTAAAAATTGATTCATTAATTGTTACATTAGTTTACCATAGTGATTCGAGATAAGATACTTGCTTATATTTATTTTATTTTGAACAAGAAAAGTCACGTAATACAGTTTTAGTTTTTAATGAAAAACTTTACACTGTCCACGTTTTTATCTGGGTAATAATGTAATCTTACGTAATCTTATCTGGGACTGAAACATCCCATTTCATTTGTTTTATTTGTTTGGCAACTATGGTGATTTCTGTTTGAAACTTAATTTAAGCTAAATTAGGTTTAATTAAAGACTTAAGATTCTGTAATGTGTCCCCTGAGGCTTAGAAATAATAGCATTTATCCTGTTTCCCCTTATTAAGTCACTGTGAATGACCGGGTGAAGTTTTTGATGGTAGTGATGTGCAAATGTGGACAGTCGTGTGGTGGTGAGATGCCATGGAATTACCACAAAAGTTTCAATCAACTTCTTTTTGGACTGAGGACAAAGCCTTTGGTTATGATTGTATCAAATCCAACACAGGGTCATTGGAAATATTTGCTTCAGACTACATTTTTGTAAAGGCATTTTGTAAAAGTTTCTTGGATAAAATTAACAACAGTATGCCAACATCTTTTGTTCTTTTTTACACAAATGATATTTACAGGGACGTATTATCAATGATTAAAGTAGTATTTTCATGCAGTTCTTTGCAGAAAACTAATTAAATATTACAAAACAACTTAACAGGCGTCATGGTGGTTCATTGGGTAGCACGATCGCCTCACACAAAAAGATTGCTGGTTTCAACCCTGGCTGGGTCAGTTGGCATTTCTGTGTGGAGTTTGCATGTTCTCCCCATGTTGGCGGGGGTTTCCTCCGGGTGCTCCGGTTTCCCCCACAGTCCAAATACATGCGCTATAGGTGAATTGAATAAAAACTAATTTAATTGCAGTGTATGTGTGTGAATGTAAGAGTGTATGTGTGTTTCCCAGTGTTGGGTTATGGCTGGAAGGGTATCCGCTGTGTAAAACATATGCTGATTAAGTTGGCCGTTCAATCCCGCTGATGAATAAAGCTAAAAAGAAAATGAATGAATGAAAAACAACTTGACATGTATCTGAAACATAACAATACCCTAAGAAACACATTTCAGATTTGCAAAACAAATGTAAACAGCGCCCTCTAGTGGATTTTTCATCTAAAATGTGCAGCGAGACGTACCTGGAGCAACATATTTAACATTTTGCAAAAATGTAGGCTGAAGCACGAATTTCTAATGAGTCTCAGTTGATCAAATCTGTTCAGTGGTCAGTGGTCACTGTTAATTTAAACTTGGTAGTTCATGTTAATTGAAAAAGGCTCAAAATAAAACAGACTTTAGATGAAAATTAAGAACTGGAAATGTTGATATGGCTACTAAATGTAATGAAGTTGTGGTAAACTCAAATAAAATTTTAGAAATATAAACTACAAAGGTTACTTTAAATAAAAGCTAATTTTGTACTATAAATTGATTGGTTATGAATGCTTTTTTTGTCAGTGTCATTATTGATTAAAACTAACACAAAATGTTAATAAACCTAAATATAAAGTGTAAATATTTACTAAAAAAAGGAAAAAAAATATATATATATATAACAATACAATATAAACTAATACAAACTAAAATAAAAATCAGTATTATAAGAATTAAAACTATAGAACATTATGGAATAAAACTTTTTTTTTTATATCAAAAGATTAGGTAACACTTTGTTTTGATGGTTCATTTGAACGTATTAGTAGACTGTCTGCTTATATATCTGTTGATATGCTCCTTTAACAGACATTTAACTGACTATAAGAAACTTTGCAAACACGTCAATTTACACTAACCCTAAGCCCAACCTAACAGTCTACTTATAATCTAATGAAAATTAGTTATCATGTAGATGCAATGTAACTTAAATTTAACCAACGGACTATCAAAATAAAGTGTGACCAAAGATCAATGTAAATGTAATTTCTATCTTTTATAGTCACCTTGCTGTGTGATTCATTGACTAAATATTCCAAGTACAGGGTCAGAGCGACTGGGTAGCTGTTGAGAATGGTAAAAACTTCTTCTGGTACAAAAGTATTGTGGTTGCCTGCATTTGTCTTTGTGAAGATAAGTATACCAGCCTGTTGATGGAGAGAAGCAGCAAATCAGAATAATTTCTGAAGTGATAAAAGGATATAATGACTGCTGAAAAATAAGCTTTGCAATCATAAAAAAAAAAAAATGTATTGAATATTAAAGGTGCAGTATATAGGATCTCGCTGGAAGTACAGTAGTAGGTCATCCAGGTACTCGATCATGCCCACTGTTGTTTTTCCAGTATGGATTTAGACATACTACTCGATTGGGCCCAGATATATAATTATATTTCTATATAATTTCATCAGTTCATCAGATGACTTACAGGTAACTCTTTTTGCAAAGACTTTAGATTGATTGGGATGATTTTATAGGAAAGCGAGAAATTAGTTTTTTGTAATTTATTATATACATATAATAAACAGAATACAGTCATAAACACAATGGAGCAAATAATAAAGCGAAATAAAATGATTTATGGTTTTCTGGGGAGAGTCTTACAATATTCAATTACAGAAATTGAATAATCAAATGTAGATGAACAATGCATGGTCTTCATCATATAAACTGTTCAATAAAACAAGTCTTTATTAAACTTCTTTTTGCTCTATTAAAATGTTTTAAACTCTTAAGAGATTAACTCTCTTTCTCTCTTAAAATTCTTATACAGTCACAGGCCTTAAAACACACGCACTGATTAACTTTCACTCTACTATGCTGAAATTCTGTAGAGTCTCCACAAATCTCATGTGTTTTGACCTGTGGTTCCTGGTCATTGCGATGTGACTATTGCGGACAGACACATTGCGATATCAATGCTCAAATGATATATTGTGCAGCCATACTCACATACATTTTTTCAACAATATATAGTAGGGAAGTATTCAATTTCAAGATTACGACACAGAAAGCACATTTTTAAAAGGAGAATAACTCACTTTAGCATTGATCACTTAGCGTGTTTCTTAAATATCTGCAAACGTATTATGGTATTTTTATGCTTTAAAAGAGTCAAGAACTTACATGCAGCACCTTTAACATAGAAAGCATATAATCATAATGAATCATTACAGCATTTTAGAAATTTGGGTGCAAACAAGACTTCAAGAACATTTATAAATCTTACCGCAAACATTTAATTTGAACCAAAGACTGTGATTTGAACATCAAAGCTATTCTTATGTTGTAGTTCACCCAAAGAAATTAAAACTTCCTCTCTCTAGCTCTAGTTCTAAAATGTTATGAATTTCTTTCTTCTGTTGAAAACAAAAGACGATTTTATGAAAAATGTTGGGAAAAAACAGCTGTTGCCATTCATAGTGTACTAGTAGGAACAAAAACACTTTGGTTGTCATTATGGCAGTTTTTCTTCAGTTTATCTTCAAAAGAATGAAGGTTTAAAACAAGTGGAGGATCAGTAAATGGCAGAATTTTCTGTTTTGAGTTAGCTATCTCTTAATTCTAGCAGGCCTGGATTGGCTAATCGGGAGGACTGGGAGAATTCCTGGTGGGCCGGTCCATTTTTTGGCCGCGAGGGCCGGTGTCCCTAGCTCCAGAATCTGTTGCTCTCAGCAGTCACACTTTTTAAATTTATTTATTTATTTACTTGACCACAGTCTTCTTATTCATTATTTTACCGCAGCTCTGCTCTTTTTATATATAACCAGCCTGCAATATTCCAGCAATATTCAACTTGTGGTCCAGTGGTTAGCACGTTAGATTATGACGCTGCTGACCCGGGTTTGATCCTCGTCTGTGTATGATTTTTTTTTTTTTCATTTTTATTGTTAAGACATATAATACTGTTAGAGTTGTTGAACATTTGAAGTTCTAAAGCAGCTGTTTTCTCAAAAAAAGACGTGATAGTGTAATTAGAAACTGAATTGGAATGACCTTATTTTAATATAGTCAGTCGTGAACTGAGGTGGGCCGGTCTGAGGCTTAAAACTCCAGGGCTGAAAAGGAGTGCCACTCCGGCCCTGAATTCTAGTGAAATAATGTTGCTTCTTTCTCTCATCAAGGCAAAAAAGTTAACTGAGCTCAATGAAATCTGTATAACTCTGCCCTCTGCTGTTGATTAACACTAAACACTTGCCTCTTGGTCTCTCCGAAGAACCCAGTCCACAAATTTCCAGATGATCTGTTTATGCTCCAGATTTGACAGAGTTTTGACTATATGCTGGAATACACTGGTGTTTGAAGGGTCTTCACTTTCGTCCTCCACAATTTTAATCCAGGTCTGAAAAAAAAGAAGCTTACTTTACTTACTAATTCATCTTTAGTTATTGCTCCATGCATTTTTCATTACCTGAATTGCATTGAAATGCTGGCCTTGGCTTTGATAGAGCAATCCAAGTGTGAAAAACCTAAAATGGCAGCAAATTAGTTTGCCTTTTCTTAAATAAACTTTAAGAATAAGTTGTAAACTTGATGAGCGCAAACCTTTTGTGCTGCTCCAAATCAGCCACACACATTTGGAGATTGCAGTTATTCTGTGTCGACACAAGCTGGTCCAATTTTTCATTTTCTCCTTGTTCCAGATACAGCTTGAAAAGTGCTGAGTCGATGTCCTGAAGACACGTTTGGCCCTGCGCTGTTGGCTTCACTTCTCTCAAGAAGTCGTCCAAAAAGCTGAGGTATTGTTGAAATGTTGGCCAGTCATTTCGGCTTAACGTCCACAGGTCTTTGGCGTTGCTGACCGCTGTTGTTTGTGGTGTGAAATCTTCACTCAAAACAGGCATTGCTGGATAAAGGCTAATGATTTCCCTAGGGTCCAAATCACCTTTACTGGAAAATAAGATTACTGCATTAACATTGATTTGCATTTAATGCATTTAAAAAATGCATTTAAGGATTGCTGGGAAATTTCACAAATAATTGCAAAGAAATCGTATCACATTAAATTAAAAATGGGATTTTTAGGAAGAAAAACAAGATGTAAACAATAATTCATATACTGTATGTAGTTAGGGGTTTCTAGATTATGCTTTATCATTGTGTTTACATTTATATATCTTTTTTTTTTAATTGTAGTGTTGTATGTATTTATACCGTAGTAATCTGGTAGCCTATTTTGGAGTTAATTATTGTGATTTCCCGATTGCCTGGGAAATTTGTCCTCATTTGTAAGTCGCTTTGGATAAAAGCGTCTGCTAAATGACTAAATGTAAACGTAAATGTAAATACTGGGAAATCTTTGTAGACTGATGGCATTTCATCAACCTTTTTATCTTAAAATGTCAGCAAAATCACCTGTTTCGTCATGACTTTGGACATTAAGCTAGAGAATCGTCCAGATACGTTTGTGAATTAGCAACGGTTCTTGCTGTTCTGTTGGCAGCTGCGGATATGAATGAATGGCGGAAAAAGGTTTTTCATACAAAAGGATTTTTTAGACTCAATATTCAGTCAAATCACACAATATATATATATATGTATATATATATATATATATATATATATATATATATATATAAAGTTGAAGCCAGAATTATTAAACCCCCTGACTTATTAGCCCCCCAATTTTTGTTTAACGGTGAGAAGATATTTTTTAACACATTTCTAAACATAATAGTTTTAATAGCTCATTTCTAATAACTGATTTATTTGATCTTTGCCAACATGACAGTACATAATATTTTACTAGATATTTTTCGAGACACTTCTATACAGCTTAAAGTGACATTTAAAGGCTTAACTAGGTTAATTAGGTTAACTAGGCAGGTTAGGGTTATTAGGCAAGTTATTTTACAGAACAAACCATTGTTTTACAATATCGAAAAAATATATAGCTTAAAGGGGCTACTAATTTTGACCTTAAAGTGTTTTTTTTTATTTTTTATTATTAAAAACTGCTTTTATTATAGCCGAAATTAAACAAATAAGACTTTCTTCAGAAGAAAAAAATATTATCAGACATATTGTGAAAATATATAATAATAATCAATATTTTAGTAATTGGTTTCCCAAATACAATCAAATGTTCAAGCATTACTTACATAAAAAGCTCTTTTGCTTCCACAAAAGCCTCTCTGTAGAACTTTATCATTCCCGATGTGCAAATTAGATTTTTGTGTAGATCCTAAAAATGTGGCATGACAAAAAAAATAATAATAAGGATAAATACAAGATATTTGCAGAAATCATACACAAAAATGGTATTCAGTGTAGCAAACAAAACAAAATTAGTTTTGAACAAAAATCATATCCACATTTTAAAATACTACAGTAATTTATAGTAAATACTATGTTTTTGAACCATGCTATAGTAAAGCACTTTATTTAATCTGTTGTGGTGTTTCTATAGTTGCCATGGTAATTCAACAAGTAGTAATATAAACAAACTACCCTATATCCTAAAGTATTCTACAACTAACTCACCACGGTTTACTGTAGTAAAAACAAAAGTATACTACAGTTTTTATTACAGTTTATTAATTCACAATAGTCAATACTACAGTATGCTATGGCCTTCGTTCACAAAGTTTTGTGAATAATACTATAATATATACAGAATATTACACTTTACTATAGTTGGTTCAAAACAATATAGTATTTACTATATATTACTATAATATTCTTACAGTGAAGCATTTGTTTCCTCCTTATTTAAAGTTAACTATGAAGTAGTATGCACTGTATGCAGTATGGTTTCTATGTAGTTAAATTTACTTAATTTTTGACCAATATACCATAATAATCATAATATTTTACCATCTACTTATTTCATTATTGACTAATATTAAAACTGACTAAATACTAAAGTTAGCACAGATGATGCTATTGTATTGCAGGATCTTTGAGTTGATTTTCATGAGCTGGTGCATCTGGGGTCTTAATGCTGCTATAAGATTATTTTCCTGAATGAGATCTGTGCATCTGGTGCTGAGCTCAAATGAATTACCTTTCTCACTGTGTCTAAGACGCTCAGCCACAGACCTACTTATTTTCTCTGACCCCATGACACCATTACAGACATTATTTCTATGCTTTAAGCATTTGTTCTCTAATGAATATTAGTGTTTCAGCAAGATATACCTACTCATTAAACATAATGCATGCGCTAGTATGTAAATTGATGAATTAATGAGCTAATGTTTACATAAAGGGGTCAAAGATTAGTTAGTAAAGTCTCGCCTGTCGGGAGAAGCTTTAATTACAACATTATGCTTGTATTATTCTGCTAAATATACATTCTGTTTGTTAATTGATTAACGTTGATGAATAACAAAATGAAGTGTACTAGCTGTTCCTCTTAAAGTGATAGTTCAGCCAAAAACAACAGTTTTGTCATCATTTACTCAAATGTTTGCTTAGCACTGTCGCATTACTGCAAGAAGGTCGCTGTCAGTAATAATCCATAGAAAGAACAAAAATAGAATGAAAGTCAATGGCTGTTTTTCCCCACAATCTTCCATATTCAACAGAAGAAAGAAACTAAATCACGTTTGTAACTAGAATGAATAAAAGATGACAGAATATTTATTTATTTATTTATTTATTTATTTATTTATTTATTATTCAAGCATCTAATTCTGAAATCTACATATCATTGTCAGGTTCTTCAAAGATCAAGAGCACAAAACCTCTAGTCTAAACGGTTCACTGCAGATCTTCTATCGTTTCATTATTTTGGATTTTATGCAAAACTCACTTTTGCAAACTAGCCCTGGTTTTTTGTCGGTTGTAAGCAGATCAGTGGAAAAAGATTTAGTGGATTCTGAACATAAAAAGTTATCAAAGAAAAAGTTTAAATTCTGAAATTTGTGTCAGGATGCCTAAAAGTTTACAGTGGACGATCCCTATTTTACTTAAATATCCATAAATGTTGAACAGAATGAGATTTCATCACCAAACTTTGGTGCCACGGTGCATGGTCTAACAGGGTTGTGCTTATTCTCTTAATGAGTTCTGGGTGTGTTTCGAGAATAAATCAGAGTATCATTAAGAGTTAGTTGCATTGCCATGGCGCATTTGTTATGTACATGGCGGACTTTGTAAGTGGAAAAACTGAACGCTTCACTAGCGAGAAAACAGTTAAACAGACCATCTGCAGCATGAGAATAGAGAAGGAGCCTCCTCTATTCTGCCTTTGCTTTCACTCTTTCTCTCTTTCATAGATACGGAAATGTGTATGTACGCTCCACTGAAGATTAATTCGCTTAAAGATTTGTTTCCAAAGTTTTTCTTAATTCAGTTCCAATTTTCTGCAAACTAATAAATGAACAGTAATAACGTAGTGTGCTTAAAAAACTGAATAATATCCAAACACACGTGCTATGCCCCATACGGTCTAAAACCTGACAGATGGACAAATCTTAGCTTGTTTTTAATAAAACAAATATAAATATGCATATAATAAATAATACTGTTAATAATAACATTATACAAAAGCAAATTGTCGTGAATAAACTGAAAACCCCCCAGAGATGAAGAAGGCATGTAGGTACTGGTTTTTATATTTATGTAGAAAGTAATAATTTTTTTGATATTTTAATCATTTAATTGTTTTTTTGTTTGTGAAGATATTTGTGTATTGCTATACATCTTGCATGTTTTAAGCAATTTGTAAGTAAGCCGCACAGCTAACGCACTCTGTGCTAGACTTTTGACCTGCTCTCAGCTGGTCTATTGCTCAGTCTATTTTAGTACACCTTTTTTCTAGATTGAAACACCCATGAGTCCACAAAGTGGTGCAAATGGATTTGCTATTTAAACAATGTGGCAGAAAACGGGAAAATTGAGGTTGCGTTGGTTTGAAAATAGCAACACGTCGGGGCAAACAGGTCTTGCGCCTTATTGCGCTGGCTGTATGGGAGGCTCCAAGGTCGGTTTGAGCTCAAATTGAGCTAACTGTAAAAAAAAAGTAGCATAGCTTGACCACATGGTGGTGCTGTAACAAAAAAAATTCAAACCAATTATAACATGGCCACGTTTACACTGTCAGGTCTTGATGCCCAAATCCGATTTGTTGCCTATATCTGATTGTTTTGCCTTACACGTTGTTTTAATTGTGACCCATATATGATTCATGTATTTACACTTGCCACACAAATTACGACGTTGCGTATGCGTAAAGGCGAGTTCTAGCATCTGCACCACACTAGCCACGATGGAAGAAATTATCTTGCTTTTAGCTCTGCGAAATATGCTAAGTTTACCCAACTTTAAAATGGTTTTGAGGCGGAGGTGGAGGAGGAGGGCCTTCATCGCAGCTTGCGCCTATGTTTTATATATGGTGTCCTCCACCATTCAGAGGAATTTGTGGGTACGAGAGAGATCTCAGGTCTGGTGGGAAGAATTTGTGGCGGCCTTTACTGAGGAGCAGTGGGTCCAAAATTTTAGGATGAGTACACACACACTCTTCCTTCTATATCATTAAACCGCGGAGAAGTACCACATTGTCGCAAGTTTAATGATGTACAAAACAGAAAGCCCCAATAAATCCGATCTGCCTGTTTACATGATAGTCACATTGTCACAAATCCGATTTATTTATACCTGATTTACTTCCACATATGAAGGAGGCCTGAAACCAATCTCTGAATTTCCGAATGCATGCATGTTTTTTGTGTTTACACACTCATAGAACAGATCCAATCTGTGTTACATAAGAGCAAAAATAAGAGTCTTTTCTTTCATTCTTTTATAACCTTTTTTAACACATATTATTGTTTTTATCTGTTTTTATATTATTATATATATATTTTTTTAAATACTTGTCTCTTTTATTCCAGTTTATGTAAAGCACTTTGTATTGCCACTGTGTATGAATAAACTATAACACTGTGCTATATAAATAAACTTGCCTTGCCTTAACTGGCAGTGTAAACAGGGCCTCTGTAACCATTAGAGCATTTGTCTTGAAATGATGCATAAAGGGACTTTGTACCTTTTCAACTATTATTCCCCTCTGAATTTGGGAATAATATACAGTTATAGTTTTACACTTTCAAAAAAATGATGGATCACATCGTACTTGGAAAAATCATGACATGTGAGTTATGGAGTCTGAATGGAAATCAACTCATGGAAACTGTTTGACTTGTGGCGTTGGGAACTATTTTGGAATTATTAAAGTAGGATAAGACATGCATTTACATTATTTAGTATTTTCAGTCTAACCTTGTAGGAGTCCCTTGGCAGAAGATGTTGAAGTCTTTCCAGCAGCGTCAGAGCTTCTTCAACTCTCTGTCTGTTAACCAGCTCATGAATCTGATCTTCAAGAGGAACTGGTGACAGCCGCTGAATCTCTTTGTCAGTGACAATAAAAACACTTTCTATAAAGATGAAAGACATGGATAATGGGTAGAAGTATGCTACTCAATAGTGATGAAATTAATGAATTATTAGTGTTTGCAATCTATAACGTCAGTCATCAGTTGTTTCATCTTGGTTTGAATGTCACTTTGGATAAAAGTATCTGCTAAATGAATAAATGTAAAATAAATGTAAAACTACACTGGTCAAATGTTTGCAAATTATGAATTTTTATTATAATCAATATTAAATATATTCTAACTATTATGTAAATTATATTGTAAAATTTAGTCAAATAAAAAAATGGATTTAAAAAAAATTCAGCTACGTCACTCCAATATTTAGTAAAATTATCACCTAGAAATCATTTAAATATGCTTCTGTTTGGCTCATGAAATGTTGCGTATTATTATCAATGTGTAAAACAGCCATATTAAGAGATTGTTCACTCAAAACCATTTACTCAACCTACACTTTTAACAAACAAGTGGTTCTTTCTTCTGTTGAACACAAAATAAGATATTTTGAAGAATGTTGAAAACCAGTAACCATTGAATATCATAGTATTTTACATGCTATTGATGTCAATGGTTACCAGTTTCTAGATTATTCAAATGATCTACTTTTGCATTCAACTGAAGAAAGAAACGCATAAAGGCTTGAACCCTCTTGAGAATTTACATTTTAGGTGATTTTTTTTTTTTTAATATTTGTAGAAACCATGAAATTGAAAACCAGTCAAAGTTATATTAATACAGCTGAATGTCATAAACATAACCTTTTAAAGTGCTACAAATACATAATTATTTAAAATCTTCTCTTTTACACCTTAAATTTATAGAGAAGTCTTGAAAAAAATCACAAAACATAAGCAATCAAGAACAAGTATGGCTCCTATTGATGTACTAAAGGATGGATTTTGAAAGATAAATGATGGACTGATGGATGGTTTCTGAAAAGATCGATGTTGGATTGTAAAGGGAACCTTCTGTCGGGACGAGAGATCTGGCATTGTGAACAGGCACAGTTTGCTTCAGCTGCTGGTCCAGAATGCTGTAGATGTGAACGGATTGATTTTGTAGTGCGAGCACATATGGGAAATGAACAGCCGCGTCCATCACTCCATCAGGCAACTGCACTGGAGGATGCTGGGAGGTGCCATTCTTCATCACAAACATGCCTAGAAAGCAACATAGAGGCTACTTTATGCAAATACTTAAATAGTACAATAATTAGCATTTGGGTATGGCAAGTATTTAAATTGAAGCAAAAATAAATGAGTAAATTCCAAATTAAAAAAAATCTAATTTTTTGCCCTTACAAAAAATAAGATTTTTTTTTCATCTTCTGCACAAACATATTTAAATAAAAATTTAAGATTTCTTCACCTCTACTACTGAAAGTTTGTTTATTTTAATATCTAATTTTTTTCAAAACATTTATCTTATTCAGTTTTAATTTTAAATGTAACTTTAGATTTATTGTGATTTTATTTTTCTCACATTTTTGGAAAAATGTATATATTTTTGGAATATATATTAATAATTAATTATATTAGCTAACATTAAAGCAAAACATTAGATCAAACTAAAATTTAATTAGTTTTTTCGTAACATGAAAGAAAATAATGTCAAATGCAAGCAAACATTTTCCTTTTGAGGTAATGTTAACTTTGTTTTAAAAAATATTTTTCATTAGATTTGTAGGGCCCTATCATACAGGCGAAATACCTATATGGTGCAATTTGTTGCTATTTTTAGACCCGCGCAAATGTTATTTTTATGTTTTGTGCCACGTTGTTTAAATGGCAAATCCATTTGCGCCACTTGAGGTTAAGGCGCTTTGTTGTGTGTTGCTATTTTGATAAACTGAAATAGACTGCACAATTTACCATCTAAAAGCTGGTGTAAAGTCCAGCGCAGAGCGCGTTTGTTATGTGCCTATGCAGGTCCAGACGATTACACATTGCTTAATACACACAGCATGTACAGCAATACACAAATATCTTTACATATGAAAAAAATTAAAGGATTAAAATATTACAAAATTATTATTTTCTACATAAAAATAAAAACTACAACCTTCATGCCTTCTTCACCTTGGGGGGGGGCTTTATTCATGACACTTTGCATTTGTATAATATTATTATTATAATTATTAGGAGGTTTATTTGTTATATGCATAATTATATTTGTTTTAATAAAAACAAGTTTAGATTTGTCAACCTGTTGAGTTTTAAAGATGTATGTATCACCATGAGGATTATAGGAATGCATAAGAATAGGACGTGTGTTTGGATATCGCTCAATTTTTTGACTTTGTTATTATTGTTCATTTATTCATTTGCTGAAAATAAGAACTGAATTTAGAAATAGTTTAAAAACAAATCTTTGCGCTTAACAAACAAAATTAAATATGTAGGCTAATGGATGTCTTCAGTGGAGTGCATGCAACACTGTTTCCTTTTCCACCAAAGTAAATGAGTAAAGAGTAGAAGTATATTAAAGAGAAAGCAAAGAGGCCAACTGGAGGAGGCTCTTTCTTTATCCTTGTGCTGCAGATGGTCTGTTTAACCGTTTTCTTGCTAGTGAACCATTCTGTGAAGACACTCTGATTGGTTTAATGCACATTATGCTCAAAACACACCCATTACTCATTAAGAGAATAAGCACAACCCTGTTAGACCATGCGCCAAGGTGCAGACCGTATTTTTCCATCTTTAAAATAGCAATAGTGGATTGGGACATGCCCTTAATGCTTTTGCACCATGTGTTTTAGACTTTGCGGCTAGATTGTTAAAATAGAGCCCATGGTGTTAATTAACTATAATAACTACAATATAGTCTAATATAAACCTTTTTAATATTTTTTAAATGCCCTTCTGAGGACCTGTGTATGTACTTCCCATTTTTTTTACATTTTATTATATATCTAAAAGCAAAATCTCACCCAAACATCCAGGCCCATTCAGAACGAACTCTCCTTTTCCACATTTGTTAGCGATGATATTTTGTTTCCCCAGGTTATGTAGGAAAAGATCAGTGGTGTTTTGGCTCTGATGATCATGGAGAAAATATCTGTCACAAGTGGCCACACACAGACACGTGCCGAGCGCAGCCAGAAGCACAGGTTCCTGCGGCAGAACCACCTGTTTCACACACTCCCATCTGTCCACATGCACCTTATAAACGCTTACTGTTTTCCTCCTGCTCGAGGCCACGATGAGCTCCGCTGAATCTCTCTGAATCCCTGACTCACTGACAGCAAAGAGTAAAACGTTGGGGATTTTCTTCAGAGCTGGGAGGGCTTCAAGGGAGAACATGTTTAGCACTGTAATCGAACCGTCCCAAAGAACCAAGAGGTGATTGAGAACCGGGATGGCTGTTAATTTGATGATTGCTCCGCTTCGACCCATCTGCCTCTTTCCCACCTCCCGAACTGTAAGGCTTTGTTGAGAGCTTGGGTTGTTTACAGTGAGGTACTCAACGGCTCCCTCTTTGGTCCCGATGTAGAGGTTTTTACCGAAACACTCCAGACACTGAATGCTGAATTTGTCTCTGCCTTTGCCTGAGGGCGTTCTTTGAAAGACTAGCGCTGGAGTAAAGACCTGCATGGTTATTTACTGTTCATTTACTGTAGTTCTCAGATGCAGAAGTACACCTAAAAATAGAGGAAAAATTGGGTGGAGATAGGAAACAGCCTTCATTAGTTCAGCTCTCTGTGTGCTGGAAGCAAAAAAATAAATAAAAACAGGTACACTCCAAATGAAAAGGGCAAAAGTAGTTATCACTAGTTCCCTTCATTGGATTAAGAGTAACTCATTTTTTGTATTACAAGTTTTCTAAACTAAGGCGGTGTGATGGTGTCACCTCACAACAAGAAGGTTCGAGCCTCGGCTGGATTAGTTGGCATTTCTGTGTGGAGTTTGCATGTTCTCCCCGTGTTGGTTTCCTCAGGGTGCTCCGGTGTCCACCACAGTCCAAAGACATTTGCTATAGGTGAATTAAATGAGCTAAAATGGCCATAGTGTATGTGTTTGAATAAGAGTGTATAGGTGTTTCCCAGTGATTGGTTGCAGCTAGAAGAACATCAGCTGTATAAAACATATGCTGGATAAGTTGTTGGTTAATTCTGCTGCGGCGTTCCCTGATTAGGAAAGGGACTAAGCCGAAAAGAAAATTAATGAATGAAGTTGGTGGTTCATTCTTCTCTGGCAATCCCTGATTAATAAAGTGACTATGCTGAAAAGAAAATGAATGAAAGTTTTCTAAATTCACTTTTAAGAAACAAGTGAGAGGTAAAAGTGTTTTATTTTTTTGTTGAACATAAAAGAAGATATCCTTTAATAGTATTTGTTTTTTTTTCTACCATGGAGGTGAATGCACCAGTTTCAAACATTCTTCATTTATTCATTTATTTTCCTTCGGCTCAGTCTGTTTCAGAGGTTGCTACAGCTGAATGAACTGCCAACTATTTCGGCATATGTTTTAGGCAGCAGATGCCCTTTCAGCTGTAACCCAGTAGTGGAAAACACCCATATACATACACACTCATACACTATGGCCAATTTAGTTTATCAACTTAAAGCCCATGTCTGTAGACTGTAGGGAGCACCCGGGGGAAACCCATGTGAACACTGGGAGAAAATGCAAACTCCTAACAGAAATGTCCCCTGGCCCAGCTGGGACTCGAACCAGCGACCTTCTTGCGGTGAAGTGACAGTGCTAACCATTGAGCCACTGTGCCAACCCAACATTCTTTATAATATTCAAAATAAAGAAACATATGTAGGCTTAAACACTTGAGAATTTTCATTTTTGGGTAAAATATTTTATGGAAACCTTGAAATTGAAAACCAATCAGTTATATTAACAGAGCTGAATGTCATAAGAATTGCTAATTTTTTTGGCGTTACTAGTTTTCTAAATTATGTCTGAATATGCAAGTAAGGATTATTTAATTAAATGTGCTTTAATTTGCTGTTTTAATTTCTTTTAAAAATGTGTAAAGTAATTGAATTTCAACAACACAAGACGATAAAGTAGCACTTTAATATATATTTTCAACCCAGGCTCATTTTGATTATTTACCTTTTTACATATTTCTGGAGAGAGCCAAACACATCCCTGGAGCTAAGTTTTTTTTTGTTGCAGTTTTTGTTTTTGCAAATCCACCAGAGGTCGCTGTGTATGGTTATTCATATCTTAAATTTCTCTCGCGCACCTGCTGTTCTTGCGTAAATCCACCAGATGCTGCTGTCGACTGACTGACTATATTACTGACTGACTGACCGATCAACTCACCCACCCTCCTCCTTCCCTAATCCCAACCAATAGTGTTTTAAAAAGCACAGATTGACTTACCCACCCACTTCCCTAAACCCAACCATTAATTTTCAAAAGCAATCCAGAAAAAGAAAAGCCCTCGCCTGGTTTTTACCACGTTTTTTACCACGATTTTACCACATTCTCCACCTGTTATTTTATTTTTTGGCTTCTGTTTTTCTCTTACCTGCTTTCTGGAACCTTTCTTCACCAGACTAGAACTTGGTAGTCACGGTTAACTCCTCTCTGTGTCTCAAGTCGGCCGATGTACGTGTCGAGCCACTGGACAAACTGGTAACAGTGTAAAAGCTGTCCACATGGAGGTTAGCTGCCAAGCGTGTAAAGGAACGCCATCATACCGCCCCTGTAGCATTCATTTTAAAGATGAAATGCAGCTATACGTAGCTCTGGCTACATAATTTGCGATCTTCAGAAATGTAAATATATCTACGTTTTTAGATTGAGCCTATTCTGCGTATTTTAGATGTTTTCTTTACATTACAGAGAAAAAAAAACTTTTTTTTACCTGCAGTGTCTCGCTTTAGTAAAGCAAAGTAATTAGCACCATAATCAGTTGAAATTATATTTAACCAGTATATACAGTGTTTGTTCAGCATAAAAAATAATAAATAGCAGTCTCACCTCGTTAATGTAGACGCTGTCAGTGTTGTAGACGTTTCTCTTTCACTGAATTGTATTTTGACCTTGCCATGTGACTCTCATCCTGAGGAAGTTTGTGTCAGCAGTTTTGCTGCTTTTACTCCAGCTCTGAATGGATCATTGGTTTCACAATGCCAAATATCTCAGAGACATAAAACCCTTGGTTAAATATTTCTTACATGCTCTCGAGATGTTTTTTAAAGTGACTTGGAAATTTTTTCTGTTTACAGAACAATATTAGTGGCAAACTGACTCAGTATGCATGAATACACAAGTTCATCTTATGACAGTTTTCACATGTATTTTAAATAAAGTGTGGCTCTACCAAATGCACATTTACCTGCATAGACACAAGGCGCAGTGAGTAGCGCTGTCACCTCACAGCAAGAAGGACGCTGGTTCGAGACTCGGCTGAGTCAGTTGGCATTTCTGTGTGGAGTTTGCATGTTCTCCTCATGTTGGCGTGGGTTTCCTCTGGGTGCTACAGTTTCCCCCCCAGGTCCAAAGACATACGCTATAGGTGAATTAGGTAAGCTAAATTGTCCGTAGTGAATTTGTGTTAATGAGTGTGTATGGATGTTTCCCAGTACTGGGTTGCAGTTGGAATGGCATCTGTTGCGTAAAACATATGCTGGATAAGTTTGCAGTTTATTCCACAGTGGCGACCCCTGGGTAATAAAGAGACTAAGCCGAAAAGTAAATGAATAAACATGTAAAGGTGGCACTGTGGCACAGTGTTTAGCACAGTCGCCTCACAGCAAGAAGACCACTGGTTCGAGTCCCAGCTGGGCCATTTCTGTGTGCAGCTGTTATGTTCTCCCTGTGTTTGTGTGGGTTTCCTCAGGGTGCTCTGGTTTCCCCCACAGTCCAAAGACATGCGCTATAAACATATGTCGAAATAGTTGGTGGTTCATTCTGCTGTGGCGACCCCTGATAAATAAGGGACTAACCCTTAAATAAAAATGTAATACAGATGTGTTAAAACATTTTAAAAGCAATGATGCATTTCTTAAAAACAGTCTCTGCGACTTACAGATCAATGCTTATGGCTACTGAAATCATACTGACATGACAGAAAATTTACTATGAATGCTAGCAAGTCCCTCTAGGATTTTTTGACCCCAATGCTTTAAAAAAGTGCCTGAGAAAAACCCCAAGAACCAAGACCTACATCTGCACCACCAGTTAGCATCTGCTTAATTTTACTGTTCCTTCTGCAGCCATCATACAGCAGCAAAATTCCTTGCGTATTACTTCAAAAAAGAGTATAGATACTAGCCATATTGGCCTTGAAAATAGCAACTTTTCATTGTCCTTTTTAATATTCAATGTAAATGCAGAAGAGTCAAGCTTTAAATAGAAAACTTATCTAAACTCATTTTTGAGCGAGATGCTAATGGTCTAATCCGATTCAATGATCTATGCTAAGCTCCACTAAAAGTGCTGCAGCCAGACCTGAAGATCGGCGGAATAGATTTAAAAATGGTCAACTTCATCAGTTTAACTCAAGCAAACTTAAAATGAGCCTAATTTCAAAAGAAGTGTTCATTTAAGTTTACATGTAGTTGTAAGCTATATCATTATTTGTATATAAAGATAGAGGATATTAAATGTCCTTAGACTTTAGAAACAGCAAACAGGGAGAAGACACCAACAAAAATTGATTTGAGTCACTATTTGTCATGTAAGTTGTGATGAAGTACTCTGTACGAAAAACCCATTAGCCAAAACCTAAAAGAGATACAAGGTGACATTAAAGGTTCAAGACACCCTGGAGTACATTTTTTGCACCTGTTTGCTTTAATTGTGGGGAAAACTGGATAATTTTGAGCTTTTGTCAAAATTTGTCAAAAAAAAAGAAAATTATTGGGGTGGGATCAAAATCAGTGACGTAGCGTGAATCTGCTAGTGGAGTGATGACATGTTGGTTTCTCATTATTATTGATAGCGGAGTTTTCTCATCCTATGAGAAGACCCTGCTTTTTAATTATTCATAAGAGCATGTGCTTTCCAAAGGCAAGGCAAACCTACCAAGCTGTGAGACCCAATGACCTAATGATATCGCATCTGCACACGGCACGGGTCGTATGTGTTTGTTTCCATGATCCACAGGCTTTATTGCATGTTTTTCCCTCTATTGTCAAGGCCAATACAGCAAAGCTGTTGGTTTGCAGCAAGCATTTTTGACAGAAGAGCTGTATGAGCATTGGAGAATGGCAGACTTTGTCTTTTATCAACAGAGTTTGTTACCATTCAAACACATCGCCTCTCCGTGCTGCTGTGTTTGCCATATGTTTTAAATCCTCCCGATTTCCAGCAGAGTTAATGGTTGGAATAGACAGGGCAAGAGACCTGCTGAACTGCGCCACTGTGTCTGTGTCTTATCTTTGTAGGGATAACACAAATTGTGGTTATGTGAAATTAAGAATAACAAATGTAGCAGGACATTAAATTACTGTTTATTTCTTTGCATTTCCTCTTCCGGCCACGCCCACTTCTCCCTCTGCCCGCAGAGCTCCACTGCCATCTCAGAGCATTTTTCCAAAATCTTTTGAAGTATACTGAACCAAAAGAGGGGGGTTTCATGGTCCTTTAAAGTTGCAATGAAATACTATCATTGTATAAATTTACTACAAATTAACAAAAAATTGTAAACTGAGCCAATTTATTTATTTATTTTAAAAAAATGTAGTGTTACTTTAACATGTAGTTTACTATAAATTTATATTAAATATTTATTTATGTTTACACACCTATAGACAGAAACAGGCGGCAGACAGGAAGAAGACACAAGTTTATTGATTAAAAACACACAAAGTTCAAACAATTTCAATATTATTCCATGCTTCTTGAAGACAATTACTCAAAAAATTGCCTTTGATTTAAACTATTTCAACAAAACATTAAGCATCCTAATTAGCTGGTGACACAGATAATGAATCTTTTCATTGTTCATGTTTAAACATTATGCACCCAAATCTAAATCTACATATATTTCGCCTACAGTATCTCTCCTGCAATATTGGTAGAGGCTCTTGTGGTCGTCTGAGCTCATTTCTCTCTGCCACAGTCGGTGCACAGTATGTCGTCCCGCTGTGTAAGGAAGCCACGACCCACCAGAGACACTGAGCACTGCATACACGTGAAACACTCGCTGTGCCACTGGCGCTCCTCAAACGAGATGTATTTAGCACCTGCCAAGCCTGGACACAAACATACACACATAGTTGTTTTACAGTCATGTAGAATTCTGGTAGATTTTTCAATTTTAATCTAGAGGCATGTAAAAATAGCCACCAGATGTCAGAAATTAGAACATACTAGTAATCGCCTTGGTGCAGCCCACGCATTTCTTGGCGTAGAGATTGCTGAAACAGTCCAGGCAGTATGGGTAGTTTTCTCTGGAGGTAAAGCGCTGGCCTGCTAGTTGTCTCTTGCATCCAATGCAAGTGAAACACTCTCGGTGCCAGGGCTTATCGTGATATGTGACACCGCCAGTTGTTATGGCCTGGAGAGGTGAAAGTGTGGATCTCAGTACCGTAAATATAGACTTAAAGGGATAGTTCAAAATGAAAATTCTGTCACCATTTACTCATCCTTCAGTTTTTCCAAACTTGTTTGATTTGATTTCTTCTGTTGAACACAAAAGAAGATATTTTGAAGAATGTTGGAAACCTGTAACTTCCATAGTGTTCAGCAGAAAAAAGAAACTCATAAAGGTTTATAACCACTTAAGGGGGAGTAAATGGTCACTATTTTATTTTTGAGTGAACAATCCCTTTAAAGAAATAGTTCACACAAAAAGGAAAATTCCAACCCAATTTTATAAGAAACAATAATTTTAATTATGATAAGGTAATGATCTCATACATAAATACAATTTGATTTGCACAGAACATTTTCTAAAAAAAAGTAGTGAGCAGATTCTGCGAAAGTGCATAATTGACTCATCAACTTTCCAATATGTAATATTCAACATTTGGATAATTATCAGGGGGCGGCACGGTGGCTCAGTGGTTAGCACTGTCGCCTCACAGCAAGAAGGTTGCTGGTTCAAATTCTGGCTGGAAGGGCATCCACTGTGTAAAACATATGATGGAATAGTTGGTGCTTCGTTTCAGCTGTGAAGACATCTGAAATAGAGGCTAAGCCGAAGGTAAATGAATGAATGAATGGATAAAGATCAGGGGTTGGTTGCACCAGTAGTGTGTAAGTTAAAACGTATAGCCTAGTTGTGACTTAAAGGGTCATGATACCCCCCACTCTGGTTCAGGTCTACCTCAGATTTTTTTCAAAAGATGCATCATAATGGGTGTGGAGCTTCACGAGCAAAGGGCAGGAGTGGGCGTGGCCAGCAGGGGAGAAGGAGGGGAGCGAGCAACTGTTGTCAGTAAGCTCACAAAATGAGACACAAACCGTGAGGAGACACATGATTTTATAGTCTACAAAGTTAAAATGCAAAGAAATAAACAGTAATTTACTACACTGTTACTACAGGGGTGGCCAACCCTGTTCCTGGAGAGCACCCTTCCTGCAGATTTCAGTTGCTACCCACATCAAACACACCTGAACCAATTAATTAGGACCTGAACACCACGTGATAATTACAGGCAGGTGTGTTTGATATGTGTTGCAACTGAAATCTGCAGGAAGGTAAGTCCCCAGGAACAGGGTAACATTTGTTATTCGTAATTTCATATGCACACAACCATAATTTATATAATTATAAAGATAATCGTGTTCATATAAACACTATAAATGAGGACTTTTCCCTCAATCCCCGGGTCTGAATGCAGACTCAGTGCAGCAGGTCTCTTGTCCTGTTTATTTTAACCATTAGCCCTGTTGGTAATCTAGAGGATTTAGGCAAACACAGCAGCACGGCGATGTGTCTAAATGTGAACAATCTCCTGATAAAAGACAATGTCCGCCATTCTGCAATTCTCGTACTGCTCTCCCGACAAAAATGCACACAAACAGCTTTGCTGTATCGGCCCTAACAGGATCATGAGGAAGAACATGCAACAAACCCCGTGGATCATGGAAACAAACACATACGACCCTTCATGAACCGCTAAATATTGTGTGCTGTGGGTCCGTGTCTCACAGGTCTGTCTAGCCTTCAGAAAGCATGTGCTCTCATGAATAATTAAGCAGCAGCCTATTCTCATAGGATAAGTAACTCTGCTGCGTCATCTTTGCACTTGCAGTTTTGCGCTACGTCGCCGATTTTGATCCTGCCCGAAAAATAATTTTAAACCCAGAAGCTGAAATTAGCTGACAAAAGCTCCAAATTATCCAGTTTTTCCCACTATTAAAGCTGACAGGTGCTAACGTTGTCTTAACTGATGCTCAACACACACAAATCTGTTAAAAATGGTTAGGAATTCACTTGAAAGTTGCAGTGAAACTCTGTCACTGTTCAAATTAGCCACTTATTCATTGAGTATAACAAAGTTTATGTGAGAGATTCTTTTATTTTACAAATTAGCAACTAATTCAGTTAAAGTTAAAGGTTGAGTTACCATTTGATATGTAATGCAATGACATTCAATGAAGTAATATCCTTGTATGAAATAACCACCAATTAGCCAAAACTTTTAATAGTTACAAGGTGACATAAAAGTTGCAATGAAATACTATCATTGTAGAAATTAGTCACAGGTTAATACATTTTTTAAAATAGATCTTAACTGATGTTAGAGTTGTAATGAAATACTATCAGTATACTAGGGGAGCTGTGCATCAATGGATTTGCTCTTCAGTGTTTGTACTTTCAGCAGTGAAAATTAAACCACACTGAAAATTAAACTTCAACTCTGAAAACTCGACTGACTGTTCAATTTACTAGAACTTCTATATTAAGCTGCTTTGACACAATTTACCCTGTAAATGAGCTATAGAAATAAAGATGAATTAAATTGAATTTTTTCAATTAATCACTAATTCACCAAAATGTAAAATGGTTAACATTTTACATAGTTGACAAGGTTGAAATAAATTTCTGTCATTGTACAAATTAGCAACACATTTGCCAACATTTTAAATTATTCTCAATTGATGTGAGAGTTACAATAAAAAATCTGTCATTGTACAAATTAGCCATCAATTTGCCAAAAAACGTAAAAATAGTTGACAAGGCATTTCAATGAAATTCAGTTGTTTACTCATCCAACCGATTCGAATGTTATCACTGGATTGAATAAGAGTTATCAGTGGTTTTCAGCTGATAGATATGGGCCAGTAGTGGCGGCTTAGTCCCTTTGTTAATCAGAGGTTGTCACAGCAAAATGAACGCCAAGTTATCCAGCAAATGTTTTACATAGTGGATGCTCTTCCGACTGCAACCCATCACTGCGAAACACCCACACACTCTCATTTACACTCATCGTCATTCATTCATTTTCTTTTCAGCTTAGTCCCTTTATTAATCAGGGGTCGCCACAGCAAAATGAACCGCCAACTTATCCAGCATATGTTTTTACGCAGCGGATGCCCTTCCAGCTGCAACAACTCACTGGGAAACACCCACACACTCTCATTCATGTCTTTGGACTTGTGGGGGAAACCGGAGCACCTGGCGGAAACCCACATGAACACGGGGAAAACATGCAAACTCCACACAGAAATGCAAACTGACCCAGCAGAGGCTCGAACCAGCAACCTTCTTGCTATGAGGCGATCGTGCTACCCACTGCGCCCCACAACTTTAATTAACAGCAATATTGTTTTCCAAATGTTTGACTTCTTTCGACACTTACCTTTTTACAAGCACAGCACTGGTAGGCAAACTGCTTCTCGAAACAAGGAACACAGAAGTAATTGTTATCTTTTGGGATGAAAGACTTGGTTCCTATTGGCTGCTGACAGCGTTGACACAGAAAGCATGTCTCATGCCAGCTGTTCCCTTTGTACTCCATTTTCCGTGATCCTAATGAGGAAAAAATCACCTTTATACACTGTAGTCTTGAATTTTGTAAAAACTTTAGTTTTAAAACAAGATTCTTGTTTTGATTCTTGTGCATGCAGTAGAAGCCAAAATGATTCTGTCAAATATTTCCCAAATGAAGTTTAACAGAGTAAGGAACTTTTCACAGTATTTCCTACACTATTTTTTCTTCTGGAGAAAATGTCTTATTTGATTTATTTTGGCTGAATTGAAATCAGTTTTTAAAAAATATTTTAAAGCTATTTAAATATTATTATTCATCTTCTTTGTTTTCAATTGTCAACAGAACAAACCACTGTTATACAATGACTTGCCTAATTTCCCTAACTAGCCTAATTAACCTAGTTAAGCTTTTACATTGCACTTTAAGTTGAATACTAACATCTTGAAAAATATCTAGTATTATAATATCAAAGATAAAAGGAAACAGTTATTACACAGGCCAATAATCACATTTCATAACTCGAACGGTTCTCACTAATCTGGCCGATCTCTTGAACCGATAACAAGTGCTTGTTTACACGTTTATGAGCAGAAGATATATAACAACTGAAATGTTTTAACATGTAAGAATTGAAAGTTTTGTGTTTTCAACATTAGTTTTTAGTATTAAGGAAATGAACATATATATTTGAGTATTTAATGATATAACTCATAGTAATACACTTATTGTAATAAACGTTAAACTAAAAGTAGTTCAGAGGCCTATTTCCTTTTATTAAAGAAGTAATGGATTTAGAGGATAAATGGATTTTTTAACTTCTTATGCATCAAATATGCGCCCCAAATTTCATTGAGACATAAGACATTTCCAAATTGCTAGTGATTTTTCTTAATAATTTTCAACAAGTTTTATGTATTATTTTCTATAAACTGCTTCTGCTCATTACATGTCCACACTAAATGGTTATATAAGACATGTTAAAAAAATTATATGCAACATCTTTCATTTAATCTCTTAGGTAAGACAAGATCTTCTCTTAAGTATCATACTTAGAGTTAAAATGTGCTTTATGCATTATAATGCTTTAAGCACCAGAATTTCTTGGTATTGGCTGACCACCATAACAAGGAATTAGTACTCTGTATCGGCTGCAAAAATCCTGATCTGAGCATTTCTAGGTATTAGAAATGAGTTATTAAAACTATTATGTTTAAAAATGTGTTGAAATAAATTATTGCAATAAACAGAAATTAGGGGAAAAAATATACAGGAGGGACTAATAATTCTGACTTCAACTGTACCTGGCATGACGGTCTTCTTGCAAGTGCTACACTTAGAGGAATACTCATGAGAGTAACACTCGGTGCAAAGCATAAGCTCATCTTTAGCAGCAAACGGTTTGTCCACCAATGATCTGCTGCACTTAGCACACTTGAAGCAATTTTCATGCCAGTGCCGGTCCTTGTAGGAGAGGTCCTTCATTATGCAGGGAGAGAAATTATAGTTAAGAGCTTGAAAATCTCTTCTGACTTTCCATCACTCATTTCAAGCTTTTAATAATTATGATGGCGCCAGTGGTTTTCGGATGCCTACCTTACAGTTGCATCCAATGGGCAGCGAACACACCTCGCAGCAGTTGGCAAACAGATTCTCGTAGCATTTTGTGCAATACTGTGTGTCCTCTTTTAGGATGTATTTCTTTCCAAGTAAAGTGTCCTTGCAGTAATGGCAGTCGAATCTTTCAGTAGACATCTTAAAAGCAGTAAACAGAACCATAAAGCAATGTTACAACGTATCAGGCTAAAGCAATCAGAGAAGTGTCGTCGAGCACAACATGCAAAACTGATGGTTTCTGCACATTTGGTCGCTTACATGGTGCTTGAGGGTACGTATCATCTATATTAGTTAGTAAAACTCACCTTCGGTGGTTGAATGGGCTTCTGAAGGGCTTCAGGGTGAGATGGTCAGTGATTGAGGGGATGCATTAAAACACCCTCTATAAATACGATTGCTCTTATTAGCTGAAATCCCTGGGGAGAATGAGCCAGTTGCTTATCTCTGCACCTTTTATGGGAGTCTAATCAGAGCGCATGCCTTGTGGTCAAGATGATTTGTGAGTGCTGCCACTGAAATGTTATTCCTTTTGTGTGCTCTTAAATCAGTGAGTGGACTGTGAGGCATTTGGACAGATACTTTCTTTTTACATTGCTTCTGCACCTGAAGAGTTACAGAACTCGTAACTTTTTGTGGCTGCACGATTATTGACCATTTATGCATTTGAGCTATTCATTTGGCATTTTGGGACTTGCAAATGCAAACTTTTGAGATCAGGTTTCAGAGTTTTTCAAAACAATACCATCATCATCTTCTTGCAACTGCAGTCATGTGATATTCTGACAAATTCTGTCATGCACATTAATATTCTGTTAATTCTACAACTATGTGTGAATATTTGGCAACCGATATGACAAAGTGTATATATAGGACTGTATATGTGCAAGTGTTTAATGTGACTGCCTTTACCGACATTCATAAAACAGTGTAAAGTGGATAAAAGCTGACATAAATGTTTCTCAACATGACTTAGTCAGCAATTTGCCCAAAATGTTTATAGTTCTGAATTGACATGAAAATTGCAATGAAATTCTGTCATTGCACAAATTACCCACATATATACTACTATAGGTAGAACTTTTATATTTGTATCACCTGTAAAAAATGGCCATGATTTCAACGGTAAAAAAACAGTAAAAATGCTACAGTACCGTAACCTGTTTAACGGTATGTTTCCTTAATATATACAGCAAATAACCGTAAATTTCCCAGAATTCCCTGCATGGCACATAACTTTTTATGCATTTGGTTGACATTAATATAGATATTTTTAGTTGTTTCCTCATCAGTTATGTGCATTAGAGATTTATGTTACATCTAATGTTGATAAACAACATTTATTTCATGACTTTAATTTCATGCGTGTTACCATACTGGTGTTTAATAGCTGTGTGAATGACACTGAGCACCTTCTATAGGCTGTTACTCTTTTTTGCTTGTGGGAAAAGTTGATTGTGATGAGCATTGGCACATTATGTAACTTCCTCATCACCACCTCCATGTGGGTGTGCTAATGTGTAACATTAACAAACTGTGTAACAAAAGACGTGTAGATGTTGATCATTCCAAATACAGACATATTACGTCTATAAATGAATAAAATATGGTAATTTACCGTAAAAATTAAAAATTACTTTTACGGTTTGTACTGTGTTTTAGCGGTAAAGTACTGGCAACCACAGCTGCCGTTTTTTTACCATAAATTTTACAGATTTTCTTTTTAGCCATCGGTTTGCTTATAGTGCATAAAATATATATTTTTCAGTAACGTTTTATAACTTTTAATTCATCCAATCTTTTTTGATTTACTCACTAGTGACTATTTACTATTGGGGCATGCAAATGCAAGCTTTTGAGATCAGGTTTCAAAGTTTTCCAAAACAAAACCATCATATTTTTTTTGCACATGAATATTGTGTTAATTCTACAGGTATGTGTGAATATTTGGCAACCAATATGACAAAACGTATAAGACTGCATGTGTCCAAGTGTGTAATGTGACTTTGCCTCAACCGGCATTCATAGAACAGTGTAAAGTAGATAAAAGCTGACAATTTTTTTTTAAATTAAATTCTTTCATTGTACGATTTAAAATGTTTAAAGTAGTTCTGAATTGACATGAAAATTGCAATGAAATTCTGTCATTGTACAAATTAACCACATATATGCTACTAAAACTGTTATATTTGTATGAACTAGCCATCAGTTTGCCAAATAGTGCATAAAATATCAATTTTTCAGTAACGTTTTATAACTCAAAGAATTAATTCATCCAATCTTTATTGATTTACTCACTAGTCAATATTAGGGCATGCAAATGCAAGCTTTTGAGATTGGGTTTCAGAGTTTTTCAAAACAATACCATCATCATCTTTTTGCAACTGCAGTCATGTGATATTCTGACAAAAGTAGTGTCATGCACATGAATATTGTGTTAATTCTACAGGTATGTGTGAATGTTTGGCAACCAATATGACAAAACGTATTGGACTATATGTGTGCAAGTGTGTATTGTGACTTTGCCTCAACCGTCATTCACAAAACAGTGTAAAGTAGATATAAGCTGACATAAAAGTTGTAATAAAATTCTTTCACTGCATGATTTAAATAGTAATTTGCCCAAAATGTTTAAAGTAGTTCTGAATTGACATGAAAATTGCAATAAAAATTCTGTCATTATACAAACTAATTACATATATGCTACTATAGGTACAACTTCCATATTTTGTATGAATTAGCCATCAGTTTGCCAAAATAGTTAATAAAAATATATATTCAAGAGTTCACACTTAGATAATGCTCCACTGTAATAGCAGGTTTGCCATGCTGTCCTGGGAGAAAACCCTGAGCTCGGAGATGGATGAGCTGAAGGTTCTCGCCTGGGCAATGAGCATTAGAAGGGATACGAGATCAGGTATTTCTCGAGACTCCCATTTATACTTTGGCTAATATGGTGGTTCTGATTGATTCAGTATGTATGTATGTGTTAAGTGCTTGTGACTGTTATTACAATTCATTTATGTACATGTTTTTAGACTGTGAGAGGAAACCGAAGTAGGCAGCCACTGTGTCGCCCGATCATAGAATAAGGAGGAAAAAAAAAATTGAAGATATGGAGTGGTTTAGGCAGGTTATTTATAGTAGTTTTGGAAAGATCTGATAGGCTAGCGAATGATTAGTATTAAGGAGGAGCTGTAGTCGATCATATCACGCGCTTCTCTCAAAATTTGTTTGTGAAACTTCACTTTTTGAGTAACATTTTATAACTCAAAGAATTAATTTATTCAATCTTTTTTGATTTACTCACTGGTGACTTTTTTTTTACCATTGGGACCTGCAAATGCAATCTCTTGAGATTGGGTTTCAGAGTTTTTCAAAACAATACCATCATCATCTTTTTGCAACTGCAGTCATGTGATATTCTAACAAAAGTAGTGTCATGAACATGAATATTTTATGTTAATTCTACCACTGTGTGTGATGATATTCTTTCACTGTACGATTGAGCCAGCAATTTGCCCACTATGTTTTAATTGTACAAATTAGCCACAAATATTCTACTAAAGCTAAAAGTTGATGTGAGAATTTCTCACCCTAAAGTGGTTGCAAACCTTTATGAGTTTCCTTTTTTTCTGTTGATCACAAAAGAAGATATTTTGAAGAATGTTAGAAACCTATAACCATTTATTTGGTAAGAAATACAAATACTATGGAAGTCAGTAGCTATGTTTCCATCCACCTATTTTTATGTGCATTCTGGATGTGCGCATTAAAAAAATGGTTGATGGAAATGACCAAGATACACGTAAGTTTTGATAATGTGCATAAAAAATGTATGCGCATAACTGGGTAGGATAAAATTTGATAAGAAAAAATGGACATTAGGAACACTTTTTTACTGAACAAATTTCAGTATGCGCATTTAAAAAAATCATGTGATTTTGTTATAATAGATCATGTGATGATAAAAATGTGTGTGAATGGAGAAACCAGCAGGCTGAGCACACTGTAAAACATCTGAAATGTAGTTTTGGTCATTCTAAAATGCCATTTCAATATTAGTGTTATTATATTATTAATTACCTCCAGAGTGTCTGTGCTTCACATCCCATGCCTACATACGCCAAGTCATCTATTAAATAAAGACAAGATTGACGCAGCTTCTCTTACCTCAGCAAATTAAGTTTTTAATTTTGACATTTGACACCAGTTAATCAGGAAGTGACGATTTTGTTCTCTTTGACTCGTTGGATGAAACGCTGCTTTATTCACTCGTCTTTAATGCAGTATTCCAGTTTTGCACATAAATTTAATTTGTGTCTATGGATGGAAACATAACTAATGGTTAATGTCGAGCGTTCTTCAGCCTCCAGTGGCTAGACTACAACTCTCCACAAGACGTTTGGCCATATGAGAAATGGTTGTGCCCAACCGAGCACCTTTTTTTTTTTTTTTTTTCACTTTCGCTCATTGGTTAAGTTTTTTTTTTCTTTGCCGCTGTTGCCACTGGCTTGCATAGTTCGGGACTTATAGAGCTGTGCATCGATGGATTACTCTTCAGTGTTTAGACTCTCAGCAGTGAATATTAAAACACATTGAACTGAACTAATCTAAACTGAACTGAACTTAAACTCTGAAAACAGAACTACACTCTTTCAATTCACTAAAATCTTTTATGTGAAGCTGCTTTGACACAATCTACATTGTAAAAGCACAAATAAAGATGAATTGAATGAACCGTTTCCAACCTTTTTAGGTTTGTGACAAGTGAAGGGTGAGTAAATGTATTTTCAGTTTCAGGAACATAATGGGAACGTTTCATAACATAGAATTGTTAGCTGGGTAAGTCAAAGAGCATTTAAAATGAATCCTTCACACTTAATAGTCATTGCTACAATACTTGATGTCTCACGTATCGGTGAAATTAGCGATTGCTCTGTCCACAGATACCTGATCTCTTACTGTATCCCCATCTGAGCCCTCAAGCAACTGCTGAAGGTTTAGACAGCGTTGAAAGCAAATGCTGTAGCGCTTGCCAAGCTTTTCCTCGACAACTAAAATTGTCTTTAATTTGACCTCTGTTTACAAGAACTGTGCAGCAATTTCCACAGCTTAACAGGTTTCGCACAAGGGATTTCTGTTAAATGCCTTAAATGTAAATTCCATCTAGAGTTGGCTTTTAAATTTGGAAACATACGAGCGATATGCAGGTATACTGTACATATTTTTGTAACTTAAACCCAGAAAAGAAAACAAGTTAGTGAATGAGCTGAAACAACACAATTCTGGGTGGCATGGTGGCTCAGTGGTTAGCACTGTCGCCTAACAGCAAGAAGGTTGCT